GACGGTCTTTCATCTGCACTGAGGACTCGTACAGCTCAGGGATCTGGGACAGGAGGAGTAGTGAAACCACAGCATTTCAACATAAGTGTAAAACATATAGAAAACCACTGGGGGGTTGTATGGTGTTTACAGGCATTAAGCCACCAGATACTAAAAGCTTATTGATTGCAAAGCTGCTTTTACTGATAAATTTCAGTCATCTGAGGCAGGCCAGTTGTGGGGTGACCAGATAATCCGTGTCAGGGAGGACACTTTGAGCTACTTCAGGTTTTACAAACTACTTTAAAACTGAAAGGCTCAAGTGCTTGGCTAAATAGTTCAGTTCTTCTTGTGCTTTGACTGGTTTGTTTCACATTAACATGCATGATTACAGAAGACTGACCTATCAGCGCATAGCAAGAACTCAGCACTTATGTGAAATCTAGGTGCTTTTAATTGAAACAATAACTTACAAATCCCATCCTAGCTCATAGTGTCCTCCCTGAAATGGGTTATATGGTCACCCTAAGATCAAGCCACCCTATCATAAACTTTTAAGTCATATACATAAGGCAAGGGTAGGCAATCCTGATCCTAGAGTAGAGCAGGTTTCCCATCCAACCTGGTCTCTGGTGAACCACACCTGATATCAGGCAGACAGTGACTCGAGGATCAGGGCTGCCTATGCTTGAAATAAGGCATATGTCAGAATCTTGAATCAGACAGGAATGCTTGTTCAGTACTATGCAAGGTTAAGCAATGGATAATCTTTGTCCTCTCCCAAAATCTAACATTTCCGCAATTAAAAACTTGACCTTGATTGTAATTAATGCACAAATAAACCTGAAATGTGATATAAAGTGGTATGAAGTGGCTTTTTCTGGCTTTATTTTCTGTTGCCATAAGTTTGTGGTTACACGTCAGTTTGATGTGACAATTTGCTAAAAGGTTCGTGATTAGGATTATTTAGGACAAACTGTATCACTCATGTCTAAGGTACATACAGGATTGACATGGGTCTTGCTGCCTCGCCTCACATATCCCCCAGCATAAGTAAAGATCCCAAAGAACTCCCCAAGAGTTACCCGCTAGATAAGATAGCACTGGTGTCTTGTATATACAGTGTCATTAGGAAACACATAATATCTACTTTCTATTTGCTCATAATCATGGATGCACAAAACTGGCACACAAGTACCAATAAAAAAACCAATACGTGCGACAATCGCGTAATAACAGCGCAAATGCGTAATTTGCGTACCAGTTATATGCGTCCCTGCTTATATTTGCAGTTTTTAGCAGCTACCGGAGTAACGTGATTAATTTAAACAAGCCGGAATTTCAGAAGTCCTTATAACAAGGGGATACGTAATATATATTAGTCAGCTATGGGTACAGCAAATGCAATCAACAACACGAAAATAAAAAACTCAGGAGTTCACTAAGACCCTCGCTCAGAAAGTTCGCCTGCAAATCCTCAGTGAGGCACAAATTAGGAGCTCAGTAGTCAGCGTCGGAAAAGTTATTCGCAAAAGTAACCCATTAAAGACAGAGGTGGAAAGTTCAGGTCCAGAAAGCAGAAATCCAGACCAAGGTTTTGTTTCAATCAAACAGCTGAGTGTTGCGTGACAGTGACTCTTCATGCTCAACTGGTAAACATCCTCCGACTTACTGGTGCCTTACTGGGTGGTCACTGCCCGTACCTGTAAATCGTTGTTCTCGGTCGGTGCCACTGGCTCGATGACCTCCTCCACCCTGTGCTCTATCATCGGCACCGAGGGCTTGCCCATCTCAGTGATCTGCAGCACGAAAAGAAGTGAAACTTCACTCAGTTTTGTTAACATAAATATCTTACATATGGGGTGTAGGTTTGTACTATGCTGATAGGATCCACACCGTCATTTACTGATCATTTATAGCTAACAGATTATTTTCCTCCACCACCAAACTCTACTACGATACTAAAATCTTGTCATTGACTATGACGAATATATGAATATATGACCCCTCTGAGTGATATTCAACAGCCAAAACGGCATCAGCCATGTCAAACATTTATATAGTGAAAACACCGGTCTGATCCCTCCCCCGCCGAGTGTTACCAGCTAGATAACATACCGCCGGTGTCTGTACATATTATCATGACGCGCATACTAATTTCTTAGTAGTATTTATCCGACAAGTTACGTAATACCGCCTTTAGCAGCTCCCCAAATAATATGACGGGTTAGAACCTCGTTATAACGGGAAAGTGCACTGCGCTGCTAGCTGCTAGCCGTCACCGACAAAAGAAAAACACACACAAGACGCTAGAAGCTGACTAACGCACTCGGTAAGAAAAATATATGTATATCGACAAAGCTAGAAGTGAAGTCCAATCCTACATTTAGTCATTTTACGTGCTTAAAATCGTAATGTGTAACGTGTAACTTACTAGTTAGCACGCTAACAACAACGGCTAAACTGAGGGCAGAAGTACTTGCCATTTTATGAAATGTATGGACACTCTTATGTTAACACAACCCCAAAGAAATGAACCACAGTATAAGTTTGCTGCGAGACAGCAGCGGACACCGACAAAATACTAAAGTAATGGCAGCGGAGTAATGATAGCTGCGGACGAACAGCAAACAGGAATCCGCGGCCTTGTCACCGGCTGCACTGACGCGCTCCCGCGATGTCTCGCTGACATCAGTACTAGTTAACGCCTATAAACCCACCATGTCTACACAAAACTACAATTTTTAAAACTAAGAAAAATGCTAAAAAATGCCAGTTTATGCCACGGGGCTATATTATATCATGTCCTAAACTTATGATGTTAATAATCCATGGCTTATAAAAATATTTTATAATGTAAATCAGAGTTGGTATTTGAAAAATTTGAAAGTATAATAACTGGGGGTGGAGCAAGCCCAACCGAAAGCACGTGCACACCCTGCAGAGGATGCGGGTCCTGCATGAGGAAAATATTGTACATGGGGGTAATGGTACATTGGCTCCAGTCTATCCAACTGCATGTCTCTGAATTGCAGAAGGAAAGGTGACAGAGAATTTTAGGGACAGATGCTTTATCTAAAGAACTGTTTTCAATATATAATGTGTAGTAATATAATGCAAGGTCTTTCCTGTGTATGTCTAAAATGTTTTAATGATAAAAACAATTGGTATTAAATATTTTTTTAACATGACATAATACTCATATAATTATCATATAAAAGACTAATATATAAGAATGTAGAGGAGAACGTTTCAGTTTACTTACTCATAAAGTAACCTTCCATCCAGAGTCATGGTCACTCTGGAGTCTGTCGCAGGATGTAGGGGACATGTG